CTGACTGTCAATAGAAGCCATGTCGTCAGTATCACGGCCTACCTGTCTGTCAATAGAAGCCATGTCGTCAGTATCATGGTCTATCTGACTGTCAATAGAAGCCATGTCGTCAGTATCATGGTCTATCTGACTGTCAATAGAAGCCATGTCGCTAGTATTAAGGTCTTTCTGACTGTCAATAGAAGCCATTTCGCTAGTATCAAGGTCTATCGGACTGTTATTAGAAGCCATGTCGCTAGTATCAAGGTCTATCTGACTGTCAATAGAAGCCATGTCGTCAGTATCATGGCCTACCTGTCTGTCAATAGAAGCCATGTCGTCAGTATCATGGCCTATCTGACTGTCAATAGAGGCCATGTCGTCAGTATCATGGCCTATCTGACTGTCAATAGAAGCCATGTCGTCAGTATCATGGCCTATCTGACTGTCAATAGAGGCCATGTCGTCAGTATCATGGCCTATCTGTCTGTCAATAGAAGCCATGTCGCTAGTATCAAGGTCTATCTGTCTGTCAATAGAAGTCATGTCACTAGTATCATGGCCTATCTGTCTGTCAATAGAAGTCATGTTGTTAGTATCATGGCCTATCTGACTGTCAATAGAAGCCATCTCGCTAGTATCAAGGTCTATCTGACTGTCATCAGAAGTCATGTCGTTAGTAACATGGCCCGCCCGATTGTCTTAAGCGGTTGTGTCATCAGTAACATTGCCCATAGACTGTCCATAGTAGCCATCTCCTTAGTGACATAGTATGTCTGACTGTCTTAAACAGCCCCGTCTTTTACAATAAGCGTCTATATATAGCACCTTGGCTTTAGTAACAAATTGTCTGACGTACCATATATGTGACTTTGCTGACCAATGTTTTGATTAGTTGAACTGTGTATGAGTTGTACTACCAACATCCTGGTATTATACATATTACCGGGAACATGGCAGGGATGAATCTATTTTGACTTAACGTCGCCCCAGACGAGGACAACGCTGATACTATTGATCACGTCAAGCCCAGTTCACATTGTCATTCCTTGTCGGGGTCACGTGATAACCATCATCATTTCTAAACGTCATCTTATGATCCATAGTCGCTTGTTCGTCTTTAAGAGAAGGTTCTCAGACGGCAATCACATTAAGTCTTTGTATGGATTGTTCATAGCTGTTATAATAACATTTTTCTGCTTACCTTGGTTGAGTGGCATTTAACAAGTTGGGACGTACAATATTGAACAAACTGTATGGATAACAACTTATTATATTTCATGAGTGCAAAACGAAATAAAGGTTGTTATCCATAAAGTTTGTTCAATATTTTTCTGCTTACTCGCATCTACGAATGCTCTTATCAACATGCGGCATATTTGATAGATAAACGGATACATCTATACCAGGAAATATTTCTTGAGTTGTATTTATTGAAATAGTTGCAGCATAGCAACATTTTTATGATGTATTGCTGTACTAAATTCTGATGCCAACAAAAGGTAGCAAATGATTTGTTGCTGCATTCGACGTTTAATAACCTCTGCAATCAGACGCCCTGCCCCCCTAACGTTATAGGGTAAACATGTAGATCTGACCAAAGGAATATCCGAGTGTCAGAAGCCAGTGTTAAGCATCAGGCCCTCGCGATCATGTTTACTTATCTGAAACATTTTCAGCTAAAATAATCAACCAAGAAGGCTATGGTGTTTATATCCTGTGATTGCTGTCCCCAAAATATCCTAAAAATGACATTAACAACTCGAACGACAATGTTTGACGTATTTTATTTTCGTCCATATTTAAGCTTACAAATCCAGCATGATCGCACTTTCATTTGGTCTAAAAGGTTATGGACGGCGCTATACTTCGCGTACAGTATGCAGCCGGGCTGATCGGTCATCTTTATCTCAGTAATGGACCATGCAGAGTTGTGTGCCTTCACCGTGGCCGAATCCTGCGATTATTCGTTCGAACCATGTTTCTAGGACTGTATATAACTTAAATATTTTCCAAAACGTTAAGCCTCAGTCCATATGTCACTATTGCCATGTACACTCTCTCTGCGCATGCGTAATCTGCGTGATCACTATCTTCATGTAATTCCAAGAAATAAGGGGCGGTGGGGTAGCCTAGTGGTTAAAGCGTTCGCTCGTCACGCCGAAGGCCCGGGTTCGATTCCACACATGGGTACTATGTGTTAAGCCCATTTCTGGTGTCCTCCGGTATTGCTGGAATATTGCTAAAAGCGGCGTAAAACCATTACTCACTCTCATTCACTGAAATAATGTTTCAAGCCCACCAGCTCAGTTTGTTCGCTGAAAGCAGCTAATGAGGATATATTGTAATTGTGACGTTTTGCATGCATTAGAGCCAATTTCTATGCGCACAAGACCACACATCTCGGTTTAATTTGTTTGGGCATTACGAAGAACGATCTGCTGAAAATAAAATGCAATTTGGTTCCGTTTGTTACACAACAAATATCTATAGGCCGCCTCGAAGACGACTCAACATTACCCCAACCCACATTGTACAATAAACACATAATGTACGGTCACATTAACTTGAAATATGATCAAGGTCTCACACATATTTTTAGACATGTCGATTAGACTTCGAAATAGAAACTATTTAATGTAAGATGTTTTTTATCTGCTTTGGTTAAATTGATTTTATAGCCTGTAAATAGATCTGAGAGCAGTTGCTACTTCATTAAACTGTTATTTCGGAATTGATTGAGTGCAGATGCTTTAAGTGAACAAGGATGCGGATGATCACAGAACTATCTCGTGGTCAAAATGTCAATGACATTACTCTAGACTGCATGGCGTAATTAACAATAACACCAGCCAGCGGTCTGGTGTCCTTTATGATGGCCGGCAAAACGGATCTGTGTAATACTTAGGTCAAGGTTTTTATCTCATGCTGTCTTTAAATTACGTTATACCTGAACATGAACTAGTACTTATTTATTAATGGCTGAGGGAAGTTGAATGTGTCTTGTCTTCAATCTAGACGTCATCTAGACATCGTCACTAAGACAACGCAGCAGGCAGATTCCTGCAGGTGAAATGTCAATGGGTAGAGCAATCAATATTCAGTTTCACTTTCAACACAATTTCCGGAATAATTTATACTGTAAATGTTTTCCCCCCAAACAACACCATACATCAATATTAAAAGTATAATTTGTTACAGGGAAAGTAAAATCGATATACATATCATATAGAGTGTCCAATTAGCTGACGCCAGTCTGGGATCCTCCTTCCCTGGCCTCAGTAAAACCTCAGTTAGCAACGATGAGGGAGAAAAAATATATATGTTCCTTTAAGTGTGAACGATCTAATAATAGTTAGCACTCAATATGGACTTCGGCCGAGAATGATTGCCAGCTGCTTGAAATAGGTATGTGAACGTGATAATAAACAGGGTTTGTTGATATGTTAACGTTCCGTCACGTCATAGTCTATTCCTACAATATCAGTCGGTCTTTAAATAACCGCCATTAGGCCATGACAGACAGCGGCGTGCATCAAGAACAACGTGCCTTGTTTTCGGGGTAGGATCATTTTTTCCTTAGTTGCTTTCTTTGTCAAATCTTGAATGACTTTGGACACGTTCTGCTACAGAATCTCGAAGATGTTAGAATATTGAGTGACTCGAATTAACGCTGTTGTCAGGTACACCCTGCAGAGAACAAACATTCTACAGTTTTGGCTTCGCTTCCGCGTCGTCTTTGATTAATCTGAAGACAACCACGTGTTTACTTTGTCCAAACAAAGGACTGCTTTGTAGTCAAGGTATCTTTATAATTGCTTCATTCTCTCACACGGCTTGTTAAGATTACAGGATTGTAATAGCTCTCCGCATCCTCGTGTTGGTGGTGGACACGTTGGCCCTGCCGGTTAATTCGTCGCGTTTCGCTGTGCAGATAGGCGTATACCAAACCAATCGTTGTGGGTTCCAATCCTTGATTCACCTTGATTAGAAATTCTGTCACCAAGATCTGCATAAGATCTGCCATCTGTCGTTCCTCCCACAAGGTGGTCACACTGTCCCATATAACTAAAATACTTTCCCGCTTAACCCCAGACTCGCAGCGGTAGGGTAGCCTAGTGGTTAATGTGTCTGCTCGCCACGCCGAAGACCCGGGTTTGATTCTCCACATGGGTACAATGTGTGAAGCCCATTTCTGGTGCCCCCCGCCATGATATTGCTGGAATATTGCTAAAAGCGGCGTAAAATCATACTCACTCACTCGCTAACCCCAGACTACAAACACAAAGCGATCTCAGCGCTACGTCGATCATAAGCGTCCTATGTTAAGCATAGGAGTAAGGCTAAGATCGTTTTGTGCAAACGGGCCCTCGTCGTTAGAACCTATCGAAATATTAGTCTTCAATGATCATCGTCAATCGTTGTTCATGACGTACGTGGACCGCCTCCGTGGTGTAGTGGTTAGAGTGTCCGCCCGGAGAGCGGAAGGTCGCGGGATCGATCCTCGACCGCGTCATACCAAAAGACTTTAAAGTATGGTACTTGTTGGTCCCTGCCTGGCGCTCGGAATTAATGGGTACAACAAGGACTGGTAGGCTTGGAGTCAGTATAATGTGTCTGAGTGGGGTATTCATGCTTCACTGCGGCATGGTATCTCAGTGGGCTAGCCCTATAAAACCAGCTGAAGTCTGGGCTAGTACAAGCAGCCGCACATACACATACACACGCATGCACGTCGTCATATGAGCGAAATATTCTCAAGCACGACGTTAAACCCAATTTCACCTCACCTCATGACGTACGTCATTGGTTGCCTCATTCTGACTTGATTATTCATTATCTGGGCTGTATCATTACGGCGTCAAGCAGCATTAGTCTCCGCCTACAATATCTGTCTTTTACTCTCTGCCACTCATCGCTTGTTAACCACACGCCTGATCTATCTTTCACAAGTAGCCTCCCTTTATGCCGATTGTTCTGGAATCACGTCAGTGTTGGAATTATTATGTTCTCTCTTGTAGATCCGAGCTGCGGGAACGGTGGTACCATGCTAGCAGACCATTATAAGGACTTACTGAGATCCGGCATCAACGGAATCCGATTGCGGAAGATGACAATCTTCTCGTAAACACTCAGTTCCTGGGAATAACAGATTGGCTTGAAAGGTCACAAAAGGAATACATTATTCTTGTCGGTTTTCAATGTGTACAAAGTTTGGATTTATTTTCTCTACTATAAACAACAACAACAACAACAACAACAAAACCCGAAATTGAAGTTTCATGGACAAATTAAACTCGAACAGCAGCGGGATAAGACGAAGCTAAATGTTACTTGTTAACCGCAAATCAAAGTGAGATCGATTCTAACAATCTTGAAAATTGATACTTAAGCTAACTTCAGTAAAAAAAACGTTTAAAGGACGTAGTGAAATTGACAACACGCTACACTATTTGTACAATGTAATCACGGTGGAAAGAATTCTGATTGAATTTATTACCGTTTTGGCCATGGAGCCGTGATCTGTTTGTCCTGTGCACGTAGGTGTAAGGAGACACTATTTCCTACTTTTACCTATTCAAACACTGTCAAGGCCACACCGTTGTGAAGTGGGGGAGTGCTGTTGACGATTCACTGTGAACTTCCCCTCCCCACCTCCACAAGTTGACGCGGACTGGTTTCTCGTCGTGTGCTGGATGAAGTATCGATCGACCACTGCGCTATATACTACTCCATGCACCGCTTCAGTGTATTTTTCTTCTGAATTGGACGATGAACTTTTCCAACCTAGTCTCGTCGGAGGGTCTCACAAGCCGTTTTAGCGATACTGTTTTGCCCGCACAGACCAACGCTACCCCCCTCGTGGCCCGGGGGGTCGGGCCAGTGATTCACGACGTCGCCACGGAGAACATAACCGTAGGAAGGATACTAACTGGGGTTACCTTATTCTGTATAATACTTCTGACGATCGCGGGAAATGTGTTGGTGCTCGTGGCTGTGTCGTCCAACAAGAAGTTGCGGACCGTCTCCAACTTTTTCATTGTGTCGTTAAGCTTTGCGGACATACTGGTCGCCACTATGGTCATGGTGCCTGCTACAATGAACGAAATATTTCAAAAATGGATACTTGGGAACGGCTTCTGTTCAATATGGGCGTCGTTTGACGTAATGCTGTGTAGTGCATCAATCCTAAACGTGTGTCTGATAAGTCTGGACAGATACCTCGCTATAATGACACCACTTCGTTACAACGCTCTGATGACACATTCAAGAGCTTTTCTTCTTCTGTCTTCAGCCTGGACAATCGCCATATGTACATCCTTCGTTCCAATTCAGAACGGGTGGCACAACCCGGATCTTCCATCGCTAGAAAACTTGACAATCTTTAGTGCTGAACCCCAATGCATCTTCATCGTCAGTCTCCCCTACGCCTTGACAGCCTCCACGGTTACCATTCTGCTTCCAATAATCATTGCCTTCGTGTTGTATTACCGAGTCTCCAAGGAAGCCAAGAGACAAGCATTCTTTGTGGGAACTCTCATAGCTCCGAGTCATGTTCTCCTGGGCAAGGATGTCTCCAACAAGTCCTTAAGAGAACCTTTCACCAGGAAGGCCACAGTGACCTTGGGGGTGATAGTCGGAGCATATGTCGTTACCTGGGCTCCCTTTCTAGTGTGCAACATCACAGACGCTTTCTGCAGGTGCATACCGCCAAAAGTCTTCACGGGATTTGTGTGGTTGGGGTACTGCAATAGTTTGATAAACCCAATTATTTACCCGTTATTCATGCGAGACTTCAGGAAAGTGTACATTAAGCTTCTCCAGGGATGTTGTCCTCGGTTATCTTTCCTCAAGAAGGCTTCAAAAGCAACGATGCGACACTGAACCAGATGAGCACGGATGTACACTGCCCTAACACTTACGTGATTGAAACTGTGACGGGAGATCGTGTAATCGCTACACTAACCGGTACACTATCGGACATGACCAGTAACCCTGACTGTCGTGTCAGTCATATTGTGATACCTCGATTGTGCTCATTCTGGCGACCTCGTCAGTAAACAAATCAGAATGTTCTGGATATACCTCGGAGGTACGATGCATATCGCGCGTGTCACACAGGAAGTATTCCATTCATTTACGTATTTCATGTTCAGTGTCACAAGTCTTGTGGATCGTAGTATGTACCGGCAATTACACTCTCCGGGGCTAGCTCAGAGTTCGTTACAAATTATTTTGTTAGCGAATATAGTGACAGATAATGATTTTGGCATCGTTGATAGTTCCAATACCTGCAATTATAATTGCTTGAGAAGTCCCAGCTCAAAGAGACATACTGTTCGGTGCCTGTGTAACTGTGAGATGTGCGACATACGGGTAGAAATGCGTTCATTGCTTTGACTATCTATAGTAGTACAAGGTGCAGTTCGTGACATCTCAGTTTGTAGTAAAGATACCAACTTGATGGTTTGATTTTTATAAAAGATATAGATACGATTTAACTAATTTCGTATTTTCAACAAAGTGAATAGCAACGAACGAAGTTTGAAAATACCTCTCCCTTAAAACTTGCGGTTTGGTGAAGTACTTTTTAAAATTGAAATAGTTTTAAATATTACGATTTTCAGCGTTATTATCAAGCAGTTCGTTATGCTACTGATTCTAAAATATGAAATTAAATTCAGGCATAAAGAGAATTGTAAATCATAATGTATCGCCATGAGGTACATAGCGAGTACTTCTTACGGAACATGTTGTTGAAGTCCGGGGTATGATGAGGGCCTCCACTGCTTGTATACTAATCAGGAGACAACTTGAAATGGCTGACTGTTAGGGCTTATATTTTCTAAATTCACATATTTTGTATTAACGTGGTTATTTTACAAACGAGTGAAAAGCGTTGATTTTACGAACTTCAAGAGTAATTGTTAGCGAGAGAGTAACTAGTCCGTGTCTAGCGATGGTATTTAACCATGTCTTCAGTTTGTCATTGGTAAACGTTCGCTGTGAAAACAAAGAAACCTTTCATGGAAACCTCTCTTGATATGTTTAAGCATTACCTATACATTTAGATTTGTGGGTGAAAACGCGTGAATTTAAAAGGATATAGTCTATTTATCATTCATATGAACACATCTTATATTTACTAGTATATAGCGATTTCAAATAGTGTTTGCTCACTTCTTAATACGCAGATCTTGTTGACCCACACGGCTGCTCTTGATATTTTGTCCGTTACACTAATCGTTCTGAAACACGTATATTGAATGTTCCTGGATAAGGGGGCCAAACCCAACACGCATTGACTGCCTTCTATTTGGAACATGATGTATCCCCAATCAAATTTCGTGACGGCGTCATATATTTCTTAAATCTGCTTTTTTAAAGTGAATAAATAGTGTCATACGTTGGTTCCGGTAATACCCCAGCGTAATGACCTGAAAGGGCTCCCAGCTTTGCACCCTTGTGGGGATCGAACCCATGTCATAGGCGTGACGAATGAACGCCCAGTCTGCTTCTCAGCTTCCGTCAAAGTATACATGTTCAATACGTAGACATCGGTGAATGTATGTGATAGGACCATCTGTTTCGGGTCAAAAACAAGAAATGATGTATTTTCAAAATTTGACTGATCGTGGCAAAAACGTGTCAGATACAAATCCCTATTTTGTGTGGTACCGTATGCTCCTGTGTTGGTCTGGGTGAAGTCTTGACCCGCTTGTGTATAACCGACCCAGGATGATGGGAATGAAACACTCACCGTTTGATAGTGTTTCATAAACGCATGCTTATGATAGAGTCGGAATCGTTCATCTGACTTTCCATTATCAAAGCTTACAGGATTTCCGCGATATAAATTAAAAATGCGTAGTCTCGATATCAAGTTCTGGATAATACATGAATGCTATTGTAGTTGCCCCACAACTGTCCGAGTGAATCAGAACATTAGCATGGGTCATGCTGACAGGTAACGATGACATTGCAATGTGCTCAGGCGAAATGGATACCGTAAGCCTGTCCTGCTGTGGACACCAGTTTCGTGCCATCGTGTTGGAGGTGTTTGTAGTATATCAGAGTTGTGGTGAACAGTATTATTGTCCTCTTACTGCTGAACAACATATTTCCCAAAATACACATAAATCCAAGAATTATCCATACAGTAAATATTTTACTGCGGTTGGCACAGTAACTAAGTATTTAGGAATCTGACAGCCTACCTATTCAGTCATGCTTACCTAACCGCTGCATGGTAAGCTGTATGATGTAGACTTGTTCTGTAGTGATCACAGCGACCATGTCAAGAGATAAGAGTTTAGTACCTCTATTCTCGTAATGATCGATAATCATTCTGCTTCATAAAGCAAACTTCGCGTCACAGCTGTTCGAAGTCCATGTTCTAGGTGTTGCCATAGTAAAACGCCCGAGGGTACATCAGTCGGTAATGACCATATCTACATCCTGTGCGAGATGAAGGCTGCAAACATTGATGTATGTCTGTAAGATGCTCAATGTGGAGATGTCTTAATAATGGAGACAGTTGCTATGGATGGATTCTATATTGATGCCGTATGTGTTAGGGGTTTTCAGCTGCTTCCCACAGGATATTGTTTATTTAACACTTTGATTTATTTAAAGTTTTTCTTTGAAAGGAGTGTCCAAAATTACTCTTTACCATTTATACATTTTGGGTTAAAGATTTATCTTTCTGTAAACTCTCAGGACAAATACGGCTACTTTCTAGGATTTTAGGAACAGGTTATGCTTGCATTAAGCAAATAGTCGAGCGTTTAAAACACTCAGACAATCTTTCATTTTCCACATAAGCCAAGAAACGTCTTTCAAAAGCTTGTTTGTTGTTGATATATGTTACTGTTGGTATTATCTTTGATGATTAAAATGTAAGATTACTTTCATACATATTTTATACGAGCGGTTCATCCTAATAAACATAACTCATGAAAACACAGATCTATGTGGGAATTGCTCATATTCCAATGTAGACGGGTCGAGATGAGAAAATGAATGTTTGTTGATATATATTTTGTTATGACTATGAAGAAACTGTGATTAGTTGATATATCTCTGTGATATTAGCTGGTATGCATCCCGCACTGTTACATACGGAATCTGTGTGTTCCTTGTTCACGTCGTGTTTCTACAATGTGTGTATGTGATTCCGAAGCAATGTTCATTATTGTTCACGTCTGTGCGAATGTAAATGTATGTGAAACTGTTCTTAACCATAAATGTCAACGTCCACTCGCGTGTAAATAGGATCGAAAGCAGATTCGATGAATAAGTTCAGTGTCCGTAATGCAAACATTGGTTTTCTTCGGTGGTTTTGACAGACATAAGTTAATGAACAAAACCAGTTGCGTCATGTATCAGTGAAATATGTTGATCGTCAAAAGCTGATTCTGACGTCGTCAGTCAAGTAACCCTGGTCTCTGCGCGATCTTGATGGGTAAATCCTACCCTTCCCCCCGTCCAACACTCTCTCTCTCTCTCTCAATCTCTCTCCATCTCTCTCCCCACCTCTCTGTTCTCTCTCTCCCTCCTCTCTCTCACACACAGGGACACACACACACACACACACAAACAAACAAACAAACAAACAAACACAAACACAGGGACAACACTTTCCCTCCCTCCCTGTCGTCTCAGGCGCCGTTACTCGCCGTTCAGACTTCCTCTGCTTTGGTACACCAGCATGGTTTAATCGTAGGTTCGAATCCCAACCATATTTATAGGTTTGTCATCGAGGTAATTAGTTTCGTTCAAGTAGTAAGCGTCCACGACCAGAATCCTCCAACATCAAGCTGCCATTCCGTGATATACCTGGAGTATTACTCAGGGCCAACTCACTGGCTCATTCTTAAACGTATGGATGTCCATCAAGACCGAGTCAATTGACTGGCTTATTCCTAGACGTATGGATGTCCATCACGATCGAGTCAATTGACTGGCTCATTCCTAGACGTATGGATGTCCATCGAGATCGAGTCAATTGACCTGCTCATTCCTAGACGTATGGATGTCCATCAAGACCGAGTCAATTGACTGGCTCATTCCTAGACGTATGGATGTCCATCACGATCGAGTCAATTGACTGGCTGATTCCTAGACGTATGGATGTCCATCGAGATCGAGTCAATTGACTGGCTCATTCCTAGACGTATGGATGTCCATCGAGATCGAGTCAATTGACCTGCTCATTCCTAGACGTATGGATGTCCATCAAGATCGAGTCAATTGACTGGCTCATTCCTAGACGTATGGATGTCCATCACGATCGAGTCAATTGACTAGCTCATTCCTAGACGTATGGATGTCCATCAAGATCGAGTCAATTCACTGGCTCATTCCTAGACGTATGGATGTCCATCGAGATCGAGTCAATTGAATGGCTCATTCCTAGACGTATGGATGTCCATCGAGATCGAGTCAATTGACTGGCTCATTCCTAGACGTATGGATGTCCATCGAGATCGAGTCAATTAACTGGCTCATTCCTAGACGTATGGATGTCCATCAAGACCGAGTCAATTGACTGGCTCATTCCTAGACGTATGGATGTCTATCAAGATCGAGTGTAATTGACTGGCCCATTCCTAGACGTATGGATGTCTATCAAGATCGAGTCAATTGACTGGCTCATTCCTAGACGTATGGATGTCCATCAAGACCGAGTCAATTGACTAGCTCATTCCTAGACGTATGGATGTCTATCAAGATCGAGTCAAGTGACTAGCTCATTCCTAGACGTATGGATGTCCATCAAGATCGGGTCAAGTGACTGGCTCATTCTTTCACGTATGGATGTCCATCAAGATCGAGTCAATTCACTGGCTCATTCTTAGACGTATGGATGTCCATCAAGATCGGTGAACGAGCCAAATTACTGGCACATTCTTACACGTATGTTCATCAAGATTGGTTAGCGGGGTTTGTGGTTGTATAAAATATGTTGTATATATGGATGTTCACTGGTGACTTTAACGAAAGCCATTATTGCCAATCGGAGAATTCGTTGATCCGGTTGTGTTCGCTGGGTATTTTCCGGTCCGAATTAACGGGATGAACAACAAAGACTAATGGGATGTACAAAGACTCTATATTGTACAGTAAAGAGTAATATATTTAACGTTATGAGGAACTGGATTTGTTGGTCTTCAGTCATGTAAATCAAATGCATTTGTCGTGTTGAACCAAACATGATAACAATAAATATTGAATTTACCCATGTTGTTGTGTCTTTGTGCAATGGTAATCTTACTTAGCATCACGTCTGTATGGCGTTATGGATTGCTACTTAGGTCAAGGTCATCACTATCAAAATACACCTTAGATTGTATAATACACTGTTGCTCATAAAGGCATGCACTTTAACTGGATTTGATTGAAACTTTACAAAAATTATCAAAAGTTTACTTGGCTGAACACAACAGCTTACAAGTCAAACCTGCAAGTCAAAAATACAACTGTGATACTTGTATCAAAACGTTTTGAATAACCCTTTCATGTTTGTTTCAATTTAAGACGCCATAAGAAATGGGTGTACACATCTCTGTGGGCGGCCGTTTTATGTACAAAGCGTCAAGGCCAGAGGACAACCAGTCTCGAATATCCACTGACACAGGTCTCACATCTACAGACACAGGTCTCATATCTACAGACACGGTTCTGATATCTACAGACACAGGTCACATAGATATACTCCATGGCCGTGCTACTGCCAAAGGCAAACGTGATTGTTGAATTGCCATTTGTCATAACACATGAACAAACTTACCTGTAAATGCGGATGTAATGATATCTATTAATTCCTAAGCTAAAGATAATTAAAATAACATTCGTATATTACATACATTTGTAAGGCACATATTATCAAGCAAGTGTGAGCATCTACACCGAAACGTCGCATCTGTTGCAATAAAGAAGTTGTCTATTCATAAAACGTGTTCCTCTTCATCATACCAGCTTGTAAATGCCACTTTAAGAAGGTCCATATATATGTTATATGATGTACATTTCTTATATCCATAAAATTTGTTCCTTTTTATAATAATATATGGATAACGAAAGTTGGAAATGCCTATTGAATTGATGTATTATGAAATGAAAAGAAAGCGAGAATAAACCCAGATGATTTATAATATTTCTGAAAGAGTCACTTCCCTTGATCTTTCAAAGGGAGAGGGGGCATGGTGACCGTTGGTTTTGATGACCACCGTGAGTCCATTTCGTTATCTTTGCAGGTAATGGTACTTGTCTAACTCAAAGTGTATCAGTAATAAGGTGGTACTAAACCCAAAATGAAGTCGGCAGAAAATGTTTAGAAATACTCAAACAGTCATAACAAGTGTCTATTAGCGAGTGTCAAAATCTGTCATAGCAGACGTGTAGGGGATATTTCCAAATTTGACGTATCAGTAGCAAATAATGTCAGATGCAATTCCCTATTTTGACGTACCATACTTTCCCGAATCTTGTCAGGTGAACAATTGATTAGGCTTTGCATGTGTTGATGACAAGCCAAAATGTTGTGGATGTGAAAGGTATTTTGCTGATTTTATTTGGCCATTTCAAGCCATGAACTGACAATGCTGCCTGGGCGATATGACCATGGGCCATGAGCCGCAGCTTTGAATTTCGACAAATTGTAACATATATTACTCAAATATAATCAAAGAACATCTGATTTTTTCATCAGGTGTTTTACCAACAGATTTTGATATCACTGCTCTCGAGAAATCAGACATATTTGAGCATCTTGATACCGATGAAACGAAACAAATGATGTCCAAAATGATCAAAATCGTACTTAAATGAGATTCATGAGAGGCATTAAGAAGTTGGTGAATATATAAGACGAGTATATGGACGGCAAGTTCTTGTTCATTGTATATCACAACGTTTCTGGGTTATATACATGTACATCTCTGGCTTCCTGTAAATCTATGTGTCACTTAATTAGCTGACCGCCTCCGTGATGTAGTGGTTAGAGCGTCCGTCCGGAGAGCGGAAGGTCGCGGGTTCGATCCCCGACCGCGTCATACCAAAAGACGTTAAAATATGGTACTTGTTGGTCCCTGCCTGGCGCTCGGCATTATTGGGTACAACAAGGACT